ATAAATCGAAAAAAGTTTCATTTACTACTTACTGTACTTTTTTATGTGATGAAATTGGAGGGGGGAAGGTTTAGGCCTCCCGTAAATTTACTCAAAAGGCGTAAAATGCTGTTGTGTTTTCACGTCAGTTTTCTCTGAGGCCATGTTAGCATTCGTAAACAAGGCTCTCCCACACTCAAGCCAACAGAAAAATCGGGTGTGATATTTATATCATACTTTTCCTTAAGATGTTTATCTTAAAAACCAGTATAAAGAATTCGGCTAACCGAGCCTTAACTAGACCTTGATGCAAGCAATTGGTGAATGATCCAATTTTTTTGATTATACCAATAATTGGTACTCGGACTTAGTCAACTTTCGAAATGCCCTCAATTCGGAAACGGACCAGTCAAAACAAGGTCCATCGATTCCTTCCTTTCTAAATGCGTGATAGTCCCATCCCAAGGTCGACTGATATGTCCACTCAGAAGTAAGGCGGTGGCCCAAGTTATAATGATTGAGCGATTTGCAATTATCTGGACAAATTTTTAAATTTTACTTATTTTGTTCTGGGGTCGTGATACGTTTATGTATTGTGTCGTGCGTTTCTGTATCATAGCGTGAGCACCAATTCGTATTTTAGGTTCATAAATATTTAGGAATATTATGTGCCTTTGATAAGCAATTAGCGCTTCCTATGGAAATCCGCAACACTAAAGTAGTTTGTGGATTCTTATGGATTCTAGTTATCCTATTAATTTAGTAATTTATTAAATTAGTAAATTATTTGTAGGAGGAGGTCCAAAACTTCCTTCATCCTCAATCCCTTAATCACCGATCCTCAAATCCATTAGTAATTTATTAAATTAGTAAATTATTAGTAGGAACTCCTCCTACTAATTTAATAAATTAGTACTTTATGTTACTCAATAAGTTTTTGACTAGTTGCGTTAGTTTAATCGGAGAACTTTATTTATTTTCTTTCGCACCGTTCATACATTTTTACAGAGAAAAACTCATGTAGTACCTCCGCTTCGAAAGGTGGGATGTCGAGCCGGACTCTTAATACCATCTAAAACCACCCTGCTGTCTCCTCGCACTTGCTAATCCAAATTTTTCGTCAGCCTGGTCTATTTGGACCACGTCTTCTGCACGATTTAGCGAGGTGTTCAACTACACACACACACAGTAAATAGCCTCGGATCCGCTACTTGATACCTCTTATACCTTGAACCACCTAAAAGCCATCAAAGAGCTCGCAGAAACATATAACCGCACAGCTTGGGAGTTTCTCACCATTGTGGTGGCAAACGAGCCATTGTGCACACACCTTGGCCGAAATCTGGCCAGCTGGTGATAACCATTATGATCACTAGCTATTCCACACCGCCATGGTCTCAGGAAGTCAGATTCTTTATTAATTAATGGATTCCTGTATTACAAGGGATGATAAGCATCGTCTGGTTGAGGAATTGTTATGCAATAAAGTTTTTCGTCTTATTACGAAGGTTTTGATCCTTCTTCTACTAATGGCCTGAACGAAAATTCTGTCATTCAATCAAACGCCTAATCGTTGAGGCCGTTAGTTAAATGGACCATTAAGATAGTTGGCTGAATAAAGATAAAATATTAAATCAGCCATTTTTTAAAGTTATAAAAATTACATAAACTTATGTTATGAAAAATTGGTTTACTAATTATGAAGAAAGTGTACCACACATGTAGTTATAACAATTTTGGGGCAAAGCATGTCCACGTTTTGATTACAACTTTAAGAACTACACACCATTAAAGAAAAAAATGGATGAGATACTCGTAACAAAAAATACATAAAATTGCCTTTCAAATCTACAAGGCTCATTATTGCTTACATAACCATTCTACTCACTAACTTAAAAGCCATTGTATCCCATAGAAACACGCCCTTGAACTGGCAAGCGATTATAAACCCTGAAACCGTAGATAGACGTTTAACGATTATTTTAAGTGCATCTATACTACTTGAGCTATTTACTGGAAAACGTAGACTTTATGAGTAATTAGGCCGTAAATAGACACAGGTTTTATTTTTATTAATAGTTCTTACTGTCCTTAATAAAAAAAAGATTATTGCTTCGAATACCTTACTGTGTTAGGACCAAAATGTAAAAGTATAAAGAGCAAAAGATAGATTTTGGATATTTAAATTCTTAGTGGAAAGAACCTTTTAGGTAGTCTTCGTTTATTTGCACTTTCTATAATATGAGAGACCTCAATGTTCCCTAAAGATGAGGGTCTAGGTTTTTACTGTAGATCTTGGTGTTGGTAATGATCTTGACTTATTTTAGTCAGTTTTGATGACACCCGTATCACAATAGGCTGGAGTCGCAATTGCTTTGCCGGTCTCTTGAGGGTAAGGGGTTCAGAGAATATTATGGATTGGAGACTGATGGAGGAGGAGAAGGATTGGGCCTCCGGTAACTTAATTTAAAGTGCTTTTAAAGGCTGATGATCTGATAATGTGATAGCGTGACATGACCATGGCTGGCTTGATAATCTAATTGGCAGGTCGCTTATGGAATCTTGAGCTCTCCTCAATTTTTGCTGATAACGACGAGTATGTACATGTGGAAAAAAGTGTTTAATTTTTTTATAATAAATATATTATGTTGCAGTTGAATTGGAAATCGAACCGTTAGTAATCTCACGACATCGATAAGTACGGGCAAGCCGGTCTTCAGCACGAAAAGGCAGCGGCGAGCGGCCTCAAAGAAAACTGGTGTAAAGCAAGGCTTACGTTATATTTTGTCGTATGAGTGAGAGTTACTGAAGGCTCAGTTCTTCGTCCTCTTTCCCCAAGCCCGAAATCCCAAAATCCTCAAATAGTAAACAAAAAAACTCCCAAAAAGTCGGTAACTTTCTTGTCATCCCTTCATGTTGCGGGTGTTCATGGCCAGCACTGATTGCTTACACATCAGCTAGGTGATCTGTCTGCTTATTTACTGAACTATCCTATAAAAAAACCAACGAGGCAATCTAGAGACTCATATGTCTTTATAAACGTCTATTATAATTTTCACTAGACACAGGTGTGTTCGTGACATAATAATCTAACCCGAAAGTTTTACATTCGCTTAATCTTCAGTGAAAATACCACCATCTGCCATGGAGATAGAATAGAATATCCAATGGAGAATTAATGAAATTTGCAGAGAGAATAAAGTTGGAGATCTGACAGCCCCTTGAGTATGTATATAATACATATGTTATGAGTAAGTTCTGTACTATTTTGCTACGTTTTATTACTGCTTTGTTGGTCAATGTCAAAAGGATTCCAATGCCAAATTGCAATGCATTGGTACAAAGAGGTTTTGGTAAGAACCTAACTTACTAACCGAATTTCATGTATTGATGTACAATTACCAAAGACAATCCTTCAAAACTAATATGCTGTTCATAAAAAAATACTAAAAAATTAACTTTGACATCATAGTTAATTAAATTAAATTAATTTACATATTCACTTGGTAATGTGTTGTGGTGACCCGGGTGTTTAGACACCCACTTCTCCTGCATGAGAGGGAGTTCAACTACACAACAAATGACTAGTACCAATGTAGTTGTACTCACTTTTACGAATTAAATAATATCTAAGGTAAATTAGACACTTGCCTAATTATAAGTAATAAATCGCCAATACGCCTTTAGCAAATGCAGTGATTAATGCTCTAACATTCATCTTATTGGCTGATGATATAAAAATATTTACTTCTGCCTACTTTTTTAGTAAGTTTTAACTTAAATGTCGATATATTATTTCAGGGAGTACTATATAGTTGTCTTTTTAGTTGTTATATAGATACTAGAACTAATATAGTTCACTAAATTGATAACCCACCATCTTTAAAATCGATATAACTTTGATGTGAATCAATAGTGATCATTCAATTTAAGCGCTCATAACGGATTCAGTTGATGAATAAATTTCCAAAACTTGGTTGTGCCTAATTTGGATCCCTGGAGCACGCCAATGTGTTTCACGTTAATCTAAAGCTACATGTACTTGGTAAAATAATCTTATTAGTATACGAATATTGATAAGTTGATTACGTGTTCAAAATTATAAATACGTAAGTACTTAATTCAGTATATCTACAGATTTTATATAAGTAAAAAGAGTATATATATAATATGGTAAATAGCAAATATAACGGTCATTACTGAATATCACTAGTTTTGAAAATGTTTTTGCTGGTTGCTGCTGGATCTTGGTATCAATAGTAGTTATAGGCCCCAAAATCTCCAGGCAACCGTTGCCGTGCTTCATGTCACTTATTCTATTCCAGCACGAAAAATGTTTTGCTTGATTTACAAATTGTTGTTCCAAGTCTGGGCTTAATGTGATCGTGATATTGTACATAATATTTGTAAACGCACTCACGACATATCGGAACATCCTAGTGCTCACACACAAAGAATAAAGGGGTGGTATTACTTAAATTATCTTTCTCATAAACGTTACCATTACATAACAAAGATACACACAGTTTCATTTCATTTGGGAGATTATAAATTACGATGTTACAAAGTTTATTACATAAGACTTGAACACTAAACTATATTAGTGTACTGGTCTGGGTCGAGGGCACTACATATGGGGATCAATAGGATCGATCTTGGGTTTGCGCAATAATCTTAAAGAAGATACGGGGTGGCTTTTAGTAAGTTAGAGTCGGTCACCCCCTCTTGCCCCACCCAACGCCAAGAGAAGACGTTGATGATTTAAAATTTTCTCATACTAATATATTTCTAATTCGTTCTTTGTTGTGTTTATGTGTCAGGAGTATGTCCTTACGAACATAACTTAGTATTATAAGAGATAATTTTGGATGAGTTGAGAGGTAAATAGGGAAATCGCCAAGTTCCAGATTCCGTGGCGGTGTGCTAACAAAACAAATGACTAACGAAGCGATGGTGGGTTGCTAGTCTAGAATATAAATCAGGAAACTATCTTCAAAATACCGTTTATGCATATATTTTTTTTAATTCATAATAGAGACTTTCTTTTTATTCCCGTAACCCACGGTACGATTTGGGGCTATTGAGGAAACCCAACGTTTGTCAAAATGTAGTCGAACGACAACTTCAATATCTTCCTTAACTGCAGATGGACTGATTATATGGCTTACGTTAAAGACTGCAATATTATAAATAATAGATTAAACTACTTTATGAATACATACAATAAAATCACAATTGATAAACAGGACCTACGCTGTATTAGTAGCATCAACTTTTACTACCAATCAGGTTTAATGAGACTATTTTTTGTTCAAAAAAAAAAGTCAAAAATCATTTATTCCAATTAGACCTTTACAGGCACTTTTGAACGTCAAACAAAATATAAAATAAAAAAATAGTGTCAGTCTGTCGGTCAGTCCTCTTAGTGAAGCTATTTGCTCGTTCCAAAGTGTAGATTCCGATGGAGAAGAACGAGCAAGAAACTCCATGGTTACTCTTTTTAAATCAGTTTCACATACAGATTCCTTTTACAAACAGTTGGTTCAATTATGTGAGAACAGTGTAACACTAATATTTATTCAAATATAAAAATAAAGTAACCTTAAGGACAATAGACAGTCTGGAGCTGACCAGTCCCAACTGACGGCGCTCGTTCACGAGCATGACACGTACACCAGCATCGCCCAACTCAACCATATTATAGGGAATTAAGCGATCCAGTGCCCATGCCACCGCCAGTGCGACCTTTCAGTGAGCATGACAACTCCAAGCTGTTATAAGGACCGACATTCTGCTAGTCTAACCAATTATAATAGGTTACAGGGCACTCACATTTACAAATTTATCAAGTTATAGTTATACAATATAATGCAATTTCACTAAAATGAAGAAGTCCCGTTCAAGCAAAATCCATTGGAACGTTATTTATTTTGGTGTACGTTTGCTATCCTGTGGAGCAGGACCAGCATGTCTCCAAGCATCTTTATCTACAATGTAATCATTCAGTGTGTAGTATGCTTTTCTACATAAAGTTTTCTTTACACATAATTTAAAATTTCTTTCATTTAATTGTTGTATTTCGCCTGGGATTTTGTTATAACATTTAACACAGAATCCCATGAACGACTTATGTACCTTTGCCAATCTAAATAATGGCTGACATAATCTATCTCTATGTCTAGTTTGATAATTATGTCTATCTGACACCTTATCGAATATTTTTAAGTTTTTCCTAACATACATAATGTTTTCATAAATAAACTGACATGGCACGGTCATAATATTGATCTCTCTAAACTTTTCTCTAAGAGACTCACGACGCCTTAGATTGTAAATAGCTCTGATGGCACGCTTTTGCAAGACAAAGATAGACTCAATGTCAGCAGCCTGTCCCCACAACAAGATGCCATACGACATAATGCTATGAAAGTAGCTGAAGTACACCAGTCTTGCAGTGTCCACATCTGTTAGCTGTCGGATCTTCCAGACAGCAAATGCTGCAGAGCTCAACCGTCCTGCCAGAGATGTGATATGGGGCCCCCATTGTAGTTTGTCATCTATGGTTATACCCAGAAAAGTAGTTTGTTTTACAAATTCCAATTTATTACCGTTTAATAATATGTCACATTCGGTACTTTTAACATTTGGCAAACTGTATCGTATACATTTAGTCTTTTTGTCGTTTAGGACTAAATTATTAATTGTAAACCAATTATGAACCTTCGTTATAGCATTATTTACGTCGTCATAATTATCTGTCCGTCTATTTATTTGAAAAATCAACGATGTGTCATTAGCAAATAATACCATTCCCGGTTCACGTTGAAATAAATGAGGTAAATCATTTATGTACACTAAAAACAGGAAAGGACCTAATATTGAGCCCTGTGGTACGCCCATAGATATGCTAGTACCCTGGGAGTTCACTTTATTTACTTGTACTTTGAACTGCCTATCCTGCAGGTATGATTTTAATAAATTGAGAGATACCCCTCGAATGCCATAGTGTTCCAACTTCAGCAACAGTGTCGTGTGTTCAACGCAATCAAAAGCTTTAGACAGGTCACAAAAAATCCCAATAGCGTCGTTTGACTTTTCCCATGAGGCAAAAACATGCTTAAGTAGAGCTACACCGGCGTCAGTTGTGCATCGACCCTGTTATTCATTCCTTTCACTACTAGAGCAAAAAAGATTCATTAGGTAAATGCTTTTAATAAAAAAGATGTCATTCAGTTAATAGACGCATTATGGTTTCTGCTTTGTAATTGGTACTGGCATTATACCAATATGACAAAGGGGTAGGTTGACCTCACTGGATGTGGCTGGAAAATCGATTTCGACCTTTTTTGTAAGTTTGTGATAACTATGTCGTTTAAAATTAAACGTTAATTTGGTTCATCATTATCATCATCGGCCTATAACTGCTGGGCAAAGGTCTTATCTCTCGGAGAAGGTTTGAACATTATTCTCCAAGCATGCCCATGAATTATAAGTCCAGGTATCCTCACGACGGTTTCCTTCACCGAATTTCAGTGGTGTCTAAATAAACTTACAAAGTACGTATAATTCGCAAAAAGCCACCTTTGTACTTGGTTTCGAAATCGCACCATCATGATCGAGAAGCGCCTCCGGACGACCACCATGACGTCTCTGGTTAGAGACAAATATTTTAAAGGCACCCAGCGGTAGCAGGAAATAGTCTGATGACTACGATGACAGTAGTCTTCTGCTTCTAAGCAGGGGATATCTTTAACTACATAATATATCTATTTAATAAATATAAGTGTGTGCTTTTTTTGAATGGACGAATCATCGAATGGCTTCTCCTGCCCTAGGTCGGGGAGACGGTTGACTACAAACCATCCCTATCACGATTCCTACACCAAAAGGTCTGACGGCTCTTTGTGCTTAGAAAACAATTCTTTTTTGGGCGTTTGGTCTTTCGGATAGCTCATGTTAAATTTTTGGACCTTCTACCTAAAATAAAAAGGTACATTCTAGAAAACCTGCGATTTCGATAGCTTTATACCTATTATTTTCAAAGAACGTAGCGACGGAGGAGATTCTCCCTACCTACAGAGTGTATTTCAAGAAAATAGTTTTAAAAGCTAATCATTTTCTGGTATTAACTCGGAACAAATTGAAAACTCGAACAGCACCCATGTTGCGTTATTAATAAAGTTCAAGCAACTATCAGTGCCCGAGTATTAACTTACGCGAGAGCATAAAGAATAAATACTTTGCAGCCAAGACCCGCACATAAAGCGATCGCAAACTTCTAGATTATAACATGGGCTAAAGACTTATATTTAAACTCTGCAATGAGTAAAGAATTTTATCAAAATGAAAAGGTTGAACTGAATGTTATTAACTATCATAAAAGCGAATGAATAAAGAAATGTGTTGCGTGGGTATCTTACTAAAAAATGTTACCTCTTATTCAAAGCATATTCATACGAAAATAATTCAACTAAAGCTTAAATAATACCATACAACAAAAAATATGACAGTACAGGGTTCCGGAGAAACATTATCGCCTTTTTTCGCGACTAAAAATGTTAAACCACGTAAGCGCCTGCATGCAAGATGAAGGCAATTTTTCACCCGCTGCCGTTATTGCGTTTTGCAATTTTTATCCGGCAGGCTCTCGACCCTGATGTATAAAGGGTGAAAACAATGTAAATATTTCGTGTTAAACACAACTCAGTGGTTTTCAGGCTCAAGTTACGTGCTGAGTAGTAAATTGTAAGTTGAGAGCGAAACTGTTTGAAACATGCCGTCGTAAACATTGGCTTATCACGCAAGTTTGAACAAACTAATGTGTGTGTTTAGCAAATAAATCTTTTGTTGTTTAGTGCTTTTTTGAGTAACATTTTGTCGCCCTTTTGTACCTTTGTGTCTGTTTGGGTGGGTTGAAGGACATTTGCCAATAGTTATTGATTTCATCGTCACAATACATAATAACCTAGGGTTTGGCACCCATTTTTGAATTCCATCGTTTCGTTCCATAATAACCTTTTGTGCTGCTCGTTTATTACTTGAAAGAATTTTTGCAAAATTGAAGCTTTTGATGCTCGCACAATGACCAGATTTGTAAGCGTCATGCACTATGAACGTGGCCCTACACTGGAATTTTGTCCTGTATTATGGGTGCGTTTACACACATATTACATATCGCACCAAGACCCGGAATAATAATTTCAGGATTGACATTGAAGGTATATGGAACTCACCAGATAATTAAGTGTGGGAAATTATTTAAGTGTGGGAGAGCCATGCTTTGGCACGAATGGGTCGGCTCGACCGGAGTGATACCACGGCCTCACAGAAAATCGGCGTGAAACAACCATAGTGTTGTTTTTCGCCGTGTGAGTGAGGTTACCGGAGGCCCAATCCTTCCCCTTCCCAATCCCTTCCCAGTTCCTAAATCTCCAAATCCCTAATCCCTAATCCCTAAAAGGTCGGCAACGCACTCGTAACTCCTCCGTTGCGGGTGTCCGTGGGCGGTGCTGATTGCTTACCATCAGGTAATCCGTCTGCTCGTTTGCCGACCTATAACATAAAAAAAAATAAAAAAAAATAATGATAACAATGATACTCATATCTCGGGTTGTTTTAATAGCGAAATCCGCCTGTCGCTTCCACCCCTTTAGGATGGAAATGGAGAGTAGTCTGATGGCGTTTTGGTGAAACGCAACCTACTGCACGCTCGGGTTCCGCTGGTCGGGCGGTGAACCTGGAGCACAGTTACGGTGGACGAAGATCCCTTACATATAATATTATCTTAGTATAAGGTGGCTTTCATAAGAGACTCAAAAATGCGAACGAGACATAGATGGGAAATTATAAGAACACATCTCGTCTTCTTCCAAATTATCTTACGCCAAAATCGGATCATTTTTATTTCTTAACAATTGACCCAATTGTAACAAGAGATGAATTGTAAGCTTAACCCTCCATATGGTGTCCTCGGCTGTTTTATCACTCATAAATAATAACAACGGGTCCCTGCAGTAATACGTCCAGCTCGCGGACAAGGGGGTCGTTTGGACTTTGGACTCCCAAAGTGATGGGGACCGTCTGATGGCATTTTTATGCGCAGTGCAGTGGTTGCTTTTAAGCAGATTATTTCAAAATCAAACCCAGAACTGAACACAACAATAGGTAATTATTATAGCAGTATTACTTTAAAAAAATGTGTTTTGATGTTAGGTTTGGGTTGATAAATAAAACTTGTAAGTTTATTTATTACAAAGCAGAGGTGGAATTTATTGTAAGCAACAGGATAGGGGAATAAGTAGTAGTAATAACAGAATAAGGGCGAGATGCAAACATTTCAGAGAGGATTGACTGGCTGCTTAAGGCATAATTGAATATATAGGTATAATTATATAGGTATAATTGAATATGGCGTGAGAAACATAAGTGTCTATGGGCCTCAGATGCCTGACTTAAATAAATAAATAAATAAAAAATGAATAAATAAAATAAATAAGTAGGTTGATTTTTGGGACTGAACAAACAGTTCACTTGTTTGGCTTTTAATATAACATGTTATATGCGTATATGCACCTTAATTCTGAAATTACAAGGTGCCGTTGAATTTACAATCAATTCTTGTCGGTAAACTTGCTGCTGTATAAACCAGACTTCATGATTGTATTGATGTTTAAAAAGGGTAACTGTAGCTTAAAGCTAAGTTATAAAATAGAAGCTTCCATCCGCAGCTTCGCCCGCGTGGTAAGTTGGTAAAAAGTACCCTATGTGTTAATCCAGGTAATCGCCTATCCACATGCCAAATTTTAACCAAAATGGTCCGGCCATTTCTGCGTGAGACAACAACAAACTTACATCCATACATTCTCACACATTTATTAAATTAGTAGGAAACAGAATAGTAGGACTCTGCATAATTGCCTTCGTTCAGTCTTGCTCAAAAAAAAAACAATTAAATACAAGTGGAAGGTTTACATATAAGAAAGGTTGCGTACATTTTCCACGGTGCCGATTCCCTAAGTAAATATAAGGGACTATTAGTTCTAAGTTCTAGCTATTGAAATATCTGTCAAGTCTAGACTATTACAATATTCTTACCACATGGCGACACAAAGTGTCATTCGAAAATATATCTTATTAGGAGGTTGTACGCTTGACATTAAGCTTGCATTCAGGATGCACTGTTTTAATAGAATTGAAATGTAATCCACATTTTTTTATTTTTTTACAAGATTGGGAGAGCTAAGCTTCGGTCCGAATGGTTCGGTTGGAGTGGAGTGGATACTACGACCTCACAGAAAACCGGTGTGAAACCACCACAGGGTTGTGTTTCGCCGTGTGAGTGAGGTTACAGGAGGCCCAATTCACCCCCCTACCCCATCCCTTCCCAATCCTTAAATATCTGAAACCCTTATCCTTAAAAGGCTGTTGTCCATGGGCGGCGCTAATTGCTTACCATCAGGTAATCCGTCTACTCGTTTGCTGATCTATTCCATAAAAAAGAAAATTGATAAAATCTCTAAGACAGTGCCCTACGTGGCGGGTGCGTATACACACACAAAACACACAGACACATGAAAACAATCAATGGATCAAACAAAGAGTGGTTCCGTGCATAATAAAAACGAGAGACACTCTTGTATTGTACAGTAGCCAGTTGTGCGTTATGGTAAGTATATTCGACTATCCAATTAAAGTACATAAAGTATTCAAACTTCCACCACAGACGGAGCCTATAGGGCTGATGGTTGGTACTGGGCAGGAGAAATATTGATTATGATAAGATAGATGATTTTCTGTAACAAAATAGTGTCAGACTCTTATTGACTAAAACACACCTTGTTCCTTCTCCTGCTTCTAGTCGGGCCCGAGGTACCTTATTCCGCCTGGCTCGGCTACCACGGCTGTGATACTAAATACAAACGAAGATTTCAAGATATTAATCATCATCTTCATCAGCCATTACGTAGGTACCCACTGCTAGGAATAAGAGCGAATGAGCGCTTCTCACACAGATTGAATTTTATGCTTAGACGTTTGCTTAAGACGGAATGGTGATCCTAAGCATATAATTAGAGATGTAAGGATCCAAGTGTCCTCACTATAGCTACCTAAACAATCTACTAGGAAAAAGTCATATTGGTACTAGCCAGCATGCATGAGAAGTGGGCGCCTTAACCACAACCATTACGAATTGACTCGAATTATTCTTTACCAGCCAAAATATAAGAAAAGCTAGGCATCTTAAAAACAATTGTCTTCGCCACTCATTCCATTTGAACGAATGAACGAAATAAATAAAAAGAATAAATCCGTCTGATTAGTTTTTGTGGAGCCAAGGTCAGAAGTCTAAGAGACGGTGACGTCATACTTTCCTTTTAAGGAAAAATCCCTTGTTTACAATAAAAGTAAACGCTGTGAGCTTAAAGATGTGTCAAATAAAATTGTTTATTTGTTCTAATAAAGATCGATAGTTCGGTAAAATATACCTACGTACGTTTCAGCGCCCAGTCTTGTTTGGTTACAAATATATGATATGCCTCATTATAGAAACAGGCCTTGTTAGTTGTTAGTTTGATTAGAATTTTAATTTAACACTACTTTTTATATTATTTTATCGAAATCAAAGCTCAAAATCGTTGGCTATTATTTTTCAGTAACTGAAAATCTTGATAATAACAGATTATTATCGTCTAATATCAATTTTTAAAATATCGCTTTTCTTTAATTAAACCAGTACAAAACGGCTTCAATACAAAAAAAATAATATAATTACTTATAAGAGGCTTGTTGAAAAACGTCATGCTAGCAAGGGATTATAAGCGACAGACATCTCCACTAATATAATCCAAAATTAATTTCTATTCAAATTTCAGTCCGCTTTGACATAAATTCAGCATTCACACTATCATTTTTGAGTTCAAAAGCGCATTTAAAACCTACCCAGGTACTAAAGTCATACACAAATTCAACATGAACTCTCCAACGATACTGTAGAATATTAAACAGCTGAAACATTTAAAACTTAAAAGCAAATTATGAAATGTAGTGCAAAACAGGGCAAATCCGAGCTTAGTGATGCCCACATATCGTTATCATATATGTATATGTACTTGTTGCATGTACAAAGTTTCAGTTCGCTCCGTTTCAGCATATTCAGTCGCGTTTCAAAGTCCGAAGCGCACGGACGCGTTGTGTCGCCTTTCGGTACCACGATTCGGAAATACGGCTATATTATCTATGTTCGCTATTTGAATGAGCGATTAAAAAAAGTTGGTGTTCCAAAAAGTTTTCTTTGTTTTTCTTGACAGTTGATTGACAGTGATTTTTTTTTTGTCATATTTAAATTTAGAACTTCGTTTTTTAAAACTGTGCTTCTTGTGAATTGAAACGTTTTCCTAATAAAATTGTTTTGGATTAACTCGACTGGGAATATCGTTTGTAAAATAATTAATATAATCTTGTAAATAATTTGTTTATGTGTAAAATATTAAGTAAGCTTAAATAATAATGGCTATAGTGTAATTAAAAAAGATTAAACTTATGAAGTTATTGAGTGACGCTTCAGAGAGATCCTGAAAATATTGAAGCAGACAGGTAATGACTTAATTTTTTGACATAATATTTAATTTTGATGACGATTATTATTTTTAATAATGAGACTTTCATGTTTTTCTTCCTAAAAATATTCGGGTGTTTCTCAGTAGAATCCTTTTATCAAGCTTTTTGGGATTTAGTCTACTTTTTTTAAATATTTTATAGAAAACACTTACTTTAAGGGCTTTGCTCTGACGTACCTTTAAGTACCCTTTAGTAGTACTAGACTTTTAAATACTAAATACTTGATTTTATTTAGGTCCACGAATTGTAGTGTATTACTTGTATATTGTTATTTATATTATTAACTGTCTCATTTACCTCGAGATTTCGGGTTCAACGTTAGGGTTGGGCTAACTATTTTATTCAGTTCTTTGAAAATTTATCATAAAGAGCGTGGGTTTTGTTATAATTTTGTCTAGTACTTGGTAGTAGATTCACCATTGTTACAAAGAGCAAGTACACTCGTAACTATAACTGGTGATTAGTGGTAAGCTCTTCTCCTCAGCATTTGGGGATTAACACTTTATGATGCATGTATTTAATAATATTTATTGTGAATATTGCAGTTATTTTATACAAAGAAGGAATTATAATGATAATTTCTTATCTATAATATTATTTTATACTTCTCAAAGATAACTTAAGCCCTCCCATTGTATTATTAGGCTATCATTTTTATTTAAAAGTGATTACTATTTATTTTGTCATAAATTATGACTCATAATTGTGAAAACCTTAAACATTGTGATATTGTTTTTTTGATTATTTGAATTCCGACGATATCGACGAGAAGCCAAATTGAAAGAAGTATTTCAATTTCATTGAAATATTTTGATGTACTAAATATTAAAACCTTACATTTATAATTTCATACCTATCAATCTATAACCTGTATAACTTTTTTTGGTATAAGACACATCACACGCATCGTCAGCACAAAAGAGCTCAATTCTGAGCAAACACCTCTTCTTACACGGAGAAGGAGGTTTATTTCGTGTAAAGTAAATATTTTTTTGCTGAACATGAACAGCCCGATGGTTTGGTAAAACAAATGAATCTTAATTAAAAACTATGTAATATGTAACAATAGTCAAAATCCCTCATTTGAGTCAATCTTTGCTTTTTTGTGTTTACCAAAGTGCAGATATGTCACGTGATTTTAAAATAGATGAAATTTGGCTGCAGTTTGAAACTGCACTGCTTCTTCGGTTGGATTATTGAAGACGTGTCTATTAGGGAAGGTTTACTTATTCTATGGCTATTAGACCACCACAGATGAGGCCCTTTAGGGCCGATGTTTAGTCAGGGTTGGGTGCTTCTTCTTGGTCCATCTAGGTCGAAGGGAAGTCATTTTGATAATTTTACCACTCAAAGTGTCAGACTTTTATTGACTAAAAACCACCTTATTGTATTTCCTACTCCAGGTCGGGGCTTTTTTTTGGAAGGGGAAAATCATTAAATTGCTTCTCCCGCCTAGGTGAGGCAAGAGTCAGTGCCAGGCTCTTACTGATTAAACACCCCTCCGTTTTTTCTCGTGCTCTAGGCCGGGTGCCTCATTGCGCTTACCCCGCAACCCCGGCTTAACATCCCCCTAATCATTAGGCCAGGACTGCGGTATTATTGTTGAAGAGAATAATAGAGCTTAGATATAATAATTAACAAGTTCGGTTCAAAATTAACGACCCAATTATAAACCTCCAGCTTTTTTGCAGAAGTCTGCTAAGAATCGACTCCATTGTTTTTTCTTTATATTTTTGAGGGTGCTCCGTCCAAGGTCAATATGAGAGCTAATTCTGAGGACAGTCTTATCCAAGGTCATTATTTTTTATTGTCTTACTACGAAGGACTGGAGATCAGCACTTTCCATTTGAGGTCAGAGGTCACATTTACCTAAGGGTGCTTCGACCCTAAATATTGGATATAAGTAAATTGATTGCTGACTTTCTACTGAATTTAATGGACTATAAAATGGCACGTTTAAGTGAAAAGACGTCATTTTTTTCTTAATAATAATATTACAAAGTAGGTAATGGGTAAGTGAGTACAATATATTTTTTTGTATATGAATCTACACTTTGGAACGATCATCTTGGATCATTAACGGGCGGGCCAAAGGACTATTCAGCTTCTTTTATCTTTTAAAAAATTCCGTCTCTCTGACTTTGGCCTCGGAAGAGGTGATTAATTTTGAATAGGTTAAGGTGTGCTAAATTAAACCTTAGGTTTATTGCAACCGTTCTCAAAGAGTGGGAGTTTATAGCCACTGCTACCGAAAGTGTGGGCGTTTGTTGCCAAATTTTGGGTCTAGTTTCTAGGTTACCTATTGTTATTAATATTAGACGTGATTCTGCGCTCGGTACAGGGATCAAAACCGGGACCATATTCAGCTATAATATTCGAAGTAATTGAAAAATATTAATTGTATGCTCATATTTCGACTATGTAACGTTTTATGTTAGTTGGAAATTAGTGTTCTTGTTTATTAATATAGATAAGACTAGCTTCTAACTTGAATCGATCAATATAAAGTAAAATTTATAGCACTCAGGGACATTGTAGCTGTTTATCTCTTTATAATATTAGTATAGCCATATGTAGATATAGTGAGTGCCATCTTGTTAAACACAGCAAAATGAGTAAAGTAGACTTATGTTCGATTCCCGCACGGAACAACAAATTGTGTGATGTTGATCCACAAATTGTTGTTTCGGGTCTGGGTGTGATGTGTTTGTGAAATTAAATGTTTGTAAACGCACACACGACACAGGAGAAAATCCTAGTGTGGGGCAACGTTTTTTATAAAAAAAAATGTCAGAACAATTTTAGACTAAAATGACATTTTATGAAATCATCCGTAATTTTAATTAAGCAAGAAAAAATTCGAAGGACCCTAATCTAAATGTTTTATTCAAAAGTACGTTTTTATCATAATATCGCCATTAATATTAATCAGTTTTTGCTTTTCAGTAGACATGTTCATAAATAATCAAAAATCTGAACAGTTTTGATTCAGTTTTTGTATAAATTAATTGAACTCAGTTGTTTTTGAGTATTGAGTTATTTTTGGCGCTAATCATTAGTAATAATAAAATTGTGTACTTGAGTAGTAAAGTTTTTAGATTTTTTAAATGATAAGGACTTAAAGGTGTTGGAAGTTGACTTATTCTTTAATAATTATTAGTTATATTTAGTTTATTAACAACACTTTATAGTATTTACACCTCACTGTGCAAGTCGGGTAGAACAATGACACAAGATTGGTTCAGGACACTTATTACAGATCCTGTTTTTCCTCTAAAAAAAAATGCGTTCGTTCCAAGAACTTAAAGTATGTAGTGGTAGTACTTATAGACATTGCTTTACACTGATTTCTTGTACCATATAAAAGTATCTGTCTGCCCTACTCTACAGTCAAATTAAAAAATGAAACTTACCAGGGATCAATCCAACTAAATCTGACCGTAATCTTAACACCATTAATCTCAGAACTCCTAATAATTCCCGTTCAACAGAAAACTGATAATCATTCACTCGAATATTTCCGAACCGGTCCGTTTATAAGACAATAGGTGCTCAGTGTAATCAAATATCGGATGTCGGAAACGGTCCGGTGGGAATCGGATCCGATTTCAAGCTACGGCCGTTACACGTGGGAAGATGTTAAAACATTGATTTTGCGGATAGTTTGTGTTCTAAATTCAATTCAGATAAGACTGTTTTGTGGACAATGGACTCTTGGGGTCTGTGCCTACTATTGTCAGTAGTTCTGGACAATATACGGGTAGTTAAATATAGATGGAATATATTAAGGCCTTATTAGACTGTTCTGGGCTTTCGTACAGGTATGCTTACTCGTGTCTGTAATTTTGTAATGGGTTTCTTGTCATATTTTATTATTCAAGTTTGTCCTTAACTAGGGATTATGGATTCACCTAAATCGTGTATATGTTTATTTTCTATAATGACTCAGTATTTAATATTTGCGTATCTTTTACTGTCACGGTAATTTTTTGTCAGGGGTGTTATTAATGATCACATGACTTCTCCCGCCACCCGCCCGGTGAAGCAAGAGAGAGTGTCAGAGTCTTACTAACTAAAAACACCCCCGTTCCTTCTCCTACTTTAGGCCGAAGCCGCGGTGCCTCATTGGGTTACTCCGCAACCGTGGCTACTCTTACGGTACCACCGAATTGGTATTTTGGAATTATTGCAAAGGACTTGATTTACCAATAGAATACGGTAGTTTCCTACTAGTCAAATTCAATACTTTTTACCAAATGTCAAAAACGATACTTTTCTATGAAATTTGTATGAAACACTGGGTTGTGACATCATAACATTTTTGCGTCAAAGGCTTTTTTTCACACGGAGAATGTTTGAGCGTTAATCACCACGCTTGCTCAATGCGGGTTGGGGATTTCAAACTTATAATTAGAAAGTATAAGTCTCTCCGGCCCACCACAACGTATATATTCTAACTAAAATTTGCAAAGAAGCAGTAGTCGTTACATAATAAGGTAGTAATGGAAAAGTATAGAAATATACTTTTCCATATGGAAAAGTATAGAAGTATAGAAGTTCGCCTGTGCTCATTAAAACAATGTCGCAAGTATTGTAAAATATAATTGTGTTCGTGCATACATTAGGCATGGCGGCGCGCCTTGTTTCTAGTCCAGGAGTTGATATCGGAAAATTCTGATGCATGTTTGAAACTTGTATGTAGGTATTTATAAGATGTACTATTTTTTTCTTAAAATATTCTGGGAATTGCTTTGAAACCGTTACCACATGATGTCGAGAGCAAGTTTTTCTATTTGTACTTACCTATTCTTAGTTTTTACACTGGAATTGATCTTATCATGCTCTTGTAACCTTGTAAATAGTCTTGGATTTTCCTTTAAAAATCACCCAATACACTGTGACTGTTTTAAGAATCCTCGACGAGAATGATATCAACACAAAAATCGGATTCATTCAATACTAATATTGTTAAGAGGTAAAATTTTAAGTTTGTGTCTAGGTGGTAATATTTGGAACCGCTGGTCAGATTTCCAAAATTCTTTTACCGATCTATCTATCAATGCTTCTAAGGGCTATACATTATATTTGATTTGCGTATTGAGTCGAGGTATCGCTTTCTTTCAACTGTGCTGTTTTGAAAAATACCTTGATACATTACTTTTATATGCGTGCGAAATAGCGGCTGAACGTTAGTCATATACATACAAAACATATAGAAGTCATGCTACCACGAAATGAAACTAACTTCTTTCTAACAATAAACCCGAAAAGTTCAATTATCCATAAACCTACAATTCCAATTTGAGTCACACTTGCTTTGTAATTATACCGAATGTGCGTCACCCCTGCCTAGCCATTACCACTATACCGACTGATAAACATCTTTAGTATGGGGGTAAAAAATGGCTTCCAACCTGTGTTAATTATTCTGCTCTACTTACTTAGTTAGCTTTAGATTCCGAGCTTAGCTTTCTTACAAAAGGTTAAGGGGTGCATTATGTACCACTTAACACCATAAGGGTTAATTTTGAAAGAGATTGTTTTGTTTTTTACGACTTGGTTAGGGAAACGAGCAGACGGATCACCTGATGGTAGTAAATCTACGCTGCATAGGACATTAAAGAAATTACAATTGCGTTGCCGGCCTTTTGTAGGTGGTTAGGGATTGTGGGTGGGAAGAATTGGGTAGTTTCCTAGGTCAAAAATAAATTAATTCGATGTTTCAATACAATAAAATATTGAAAAATAACTATACCTTCCTTTGTTTTTATAATAATTATCGTGAGACATACTAAATAAACTAAAAATCGCGGGTTACTCACGTGTATATGTAGGCCGCGTCCGCACACGCTGCTCATGAGGAAGAACCCCTCTGTGGTTCGAAACTAGTATTGCTTTTCTCAATATTTACACGTGAACAACCCGCGATTTTTAGTTTATTTAGTATGTCTCACGATAATTATTATAAAAACAAAGGAAGGTATAGTTATTTTTCAATATTACTTTTATTCATCGACTAATGCTTGTCACCACAACCTGTGCAACCAGGTCGAAACATCAAGCCAACCAAGATATTTAAGTAAATATTTTCCGCGTTAATACCCGTGTAACTACATGTTGTTAACTCTAAACTCCGGCCAAACACAACGCTGTGGTATCACTTCGATCGAGCCGGCCCATTCGTGCCGATCACATTCATTTCTTTAGTAGCCCGTTGGGAATATTTTAGTATAATGTTAGTTCGATTAGTAAAACTATGGCGGGCACGCGGGCAAACGATTTTGGCGCGAAACGTGAATAGTTTTAGATAATGTATTAAAACGCAATTTAATGAAAGTTTTTTATGTTCCATCGATTTCGTGTGTTTTGCTAAAGATTTACCTCGAGTCGTTATGTTAGGGAATTATAATTGTGAAGTGTATAAATATAGTACCTAACTGAACTGATTTTATAATTCTAGTTTTAATATTATTTGATATTTATTCATTTTAATTTGATTTATATATTGAACAGGATAAGGATTAGCTTTCAACCGGGTTCTCTATCGGATCTATGCATATATTTTTTAAGTTTTTTTTATTTTCCAAATATTACTTTTAATCAATCAATTATTCGACAACCCTGAAAATACTCAGTCATTTCCGATTCTGTTTATCAAGGTATTGTAGTCTGTTTGAAGGGATTTTTATAGTAAGAGGCTAACAATAAGATATTTGCCTTTGTTCTAGTTGTAAACATGTTTTAATGCCGGAAACTTGAGATTTATAGTTAACATCTGCCGAGCTTCAATTGTTTTGTATAACAATAAACTATTTTTGGAAATATTATGTCATCTATATTTTTTTATATGTATAGAACATTTAGATTAATGGCATTTCCATACAAATTTTGACCAACAAAATCCTTTAAAACTAACCTATTTTGTTCAAATTTTGGGTTTTTATACGTACAAAGTCCAAAAACGTAGATTATACAAAATATTATGATTCACTAGTTACTCTTGCGCGGTTTCACCCGCTGCTCTGCTCCATTTGATCTTAGCGTGATGTTTTATAGCCTATAGCCCTCAGGAATATTGTAGCTACCTATCAGTGAAAGAATTTTCGCAATCCGACCAGCGGTTCCAAAGATTACCCCCTACATACAAACTTACAAATTTTACCTCTTTATAATATTAGTATAAGCAATATTCATTTTGTCCAAATTTAAAATACGAAAACAAGAAATTAAAGAAAATTAACTTGTATTATTACTCTATAACTAATTGAATTGTAATCTAGATGTTTATTTTTTATATTATCACATACTTATATCAGTTTTATCAGAAACCAATATAACATATAAGCCGGCTGTTTCTTTTATCGCATTAACTAATCACTCTGGCACGTCATTATTACACGTCTTTGGTCGACAAATCTTATTATTATTAAACAATACTAATGTCTGTCTGTCTGTCATTAGTGTATCATCGACTAAGATTGATTTGTTTTCCGTATTCTTTCATGTTGAATGTACATTTGGAATTCCGAGAATTTTAGAATTTTTATGTGTGGAAGTGAGTGAAATTCTAACTTGTCTTTTTCTAATATTATTAATATACTTAATATACTTTTATAATATTATTTCTATATTTTTATAATATTGTTTTATAATAATAAAGTATAACGTGGATATGCGGACGGCGGACGAGGGTAGCTCGCCGCCCAACCAGAACTAGATTCAAGCGTACGGCGCGTAGCGTTTCGCTTTTTTTTTATTCAAAGGTTGGTAAACGAGCAGACGGATTACCTGATGGTAAGCAATCAGCGCCGCCCATGGACACTCGCAACGGAGGAGTTACGAGTGCGTTGCCGACCTTTTAGGGATTAGGGATTTGGAGATTTAGGGATTTAGAAGGGATTGGGGGAGGGTAAAGATTGGGCCTCCGGTAACCTCACTCACACGGCGAAACACAACGCTGTGGTTATTTCAGTCCGGTTTTCTGTGAGGCCGTGGTATCACTCCGGTCGAGCCGACCCATTCGTGCCGATGCATGGAGCATGCTCCACAAATGAGGCCCTATGGGATGGATGTTCAACTGGGGTCAAGTGCAATATAGTACGGGGTGGTTTTTAGTCAGTAAGAATCTGACATTCCCTCTCACATCCCCCTAGGCTAGAAGTCATTTGATGAGTTTCTTCTCAAAAGCAAAAATTAAAAGCTGTAACTTGAAAAAACAGCTAACTTGAGTAAGTTAGTGACGATGTATTTAACTGTTGTTTTAACTGTTAACAATTAATTTTGTCTCTTGTACTGTGTTATTGTCAGAGTTAAATACTGGTCTCTTTTAGTATGTACTAAAGAGACGTTTTATAGGATGGAGACAAAACATTTAGTATCTAGTTTTTTTTTAAGAATACTTAGTTAATACCTTAGAGGAAGTGTCTTTGGAATTCACAATTTCTGTAGGTAGGTTCAAGTACCTACTGGTATTGTTTATTTGAAGAAACAATTGAGAGTCTTAAAAATAATTACGAATTTGTTGCATAAATTAATCAGATAATATTCTAACCGATACATTAGTTCTACATAAATTTATTCAAAATTAGAAGCAATATTTTATAAAAATATTACTAATTATAAAAATATTACTAAGGCTTACAGACTAATATACAAATTATATATTGACTCTAATATTATCACATTGGTAATTACAAGCCTCCACAAATAAATATAAGAAAAATGAAATATATAGAGGTAAAAAGAAATCAAGTGCATACTGTATTGAACACAAACATGCAGGCACCCAACTTCCTCCACTGAGCCAAGAAACTCCACTCAAACAAGAAAATACGAATATTTAACTAGCGAAGAATTTTTGTTTCATTTGTCGCCGCAATGTCACCACACTGGTGCAGAACAAGTAGATTTCAAGGTCCTTCGAGAGTCTATTGAAACTTCGTACTCATTACGCTAAAATTGCACTAGTACAGAGTACAGTCATCGCTCAAAGAATGTATGTAGTAGGTAAGCGTAAATATACCAAAAATACAACGCAACTCCTTATTTACGAACATATAAAATAATGATGTTTACATAACAATATACATTCTTTATTAAGAGAATATTTTACGTATTTTTATTTTCCCTATAAATAGTAATTTTTGTTTACAATTATTCAACGTACGAGTGTAAATAATGTTGGAGCCCGTCTTATGTAAAAAGTAATTATTGTTGATTTATATTTTACTATGTTTAAATTAGGTGCTACAGACAGTTAAAAATGTTTGGAAATAAATTTTATTTTTAAACGTCGAACGAGTACATCTTTTTAAAAAAACATGTGTGTTGTTTGTAATTGTGGGAAATGGGTAGATACATATGTGAATTTATGGTGCGATTAACGATTACCAAATCTGTGTCATCATCAGCCGGAAGACGTCCACTGCTGGACAATGGCCTTCTTCTTCTTCTTGTAAGTTTGCTTCACCTCAAAAGTTCAATGAAAAATGGACAATAATAATTATGTATATAAATAGTTGTACGCCTCAAGGCAAAGCATGGAAGATCGTCGACCACATCGTCACTTTCCATCAGGTGAGTTAGCAGTCAAGCGTGAGCCTATAATCAATAAAAAAAAAATTTACCAAACTGTAACACCTCGCACACCTATGTTTTACAAATAAATAATTCTTAATCTTCTTATTCAAATTCTTAAGTAAAGTTAAGTATTTATACATATAGTAACAATTTTGTAAAATGTTTATTATGTATTAGTTTATTGTTTTTTACATTGTTATTTATGTATAGCGTTTATGGGCCTTAGTAGCCTAAAAAATAAAGAGATAAATTAAATTAAATTAAGAAAAACAGTCCTCAACGTCGAACGACAAGTTGCTGTTTGCATCCAAAGGATTCAGAAATATTTGCAAATATTTATGATTCTGTAACTGCCTATGTACTGTGAATCGTGACGCTTCTGCTTGATTCGAGAACTGAAGAGAACTCATTAATTATCTTTGTTATTTAATAATTAATATAACTATATTTTAATTCAATATAAGTAGTTATTTAACGCATTCGTAAATTTAAAAAATGGTATTTCTTTGATGCCTCTACATACATAATTAATGGTCTTGTAGTAAGATTGTCTTAGTTTCTTAATTAATAGCGTTTTTATTTTATTTTCGAGGATTTCATTATAAAGACAGATTTTTTGAACTAACTGTACCTAGTCTACCAGACCCTCATAAAATGAATCAGCCAGTTTACCTGGTGGATCATAAACTGATAGATCTGTTTGATGTCTCTCAACACGGCTAGCGACTGGATCATGATTAGCTAAGAACTAAAATAGAATACTCAACATCTGTCAGTCTATTTTAGAACTAGTAACTAATTCTAGTTTTCCTATGTAAGTTTGAAGGTTACTTCGACCCTTAGTCTGAGCTTAAGTAGAAACGGGTACTGAATTGTTACTAAAATAATTTCTGCTTTTATCGTCCTGTAGGATAAATTTGTTATCAGACCAGCTCAGCCCTTTCCTTGGCCTATGAGTCGACTTGAAAAAGGGTGAACTGACAAAGATTGGGCATAAATGCTCTCTAATTTTTATGCGAATTTCCAAACGATGTGCACTATGTTTTTATAATAACTATCGTGAGACATACTAAATTAACTAAAAATCAGTAGGCTGCGCGACGTCGCCGCGTCCGCGCACGCTGCTCATGAGGAAGAACCCCTCTGTGGTTCGAAACTAGTAGAGCTTTTCTCAATACTTACACGTGAGTAACCCGCGATTTTTAGTTAATGACGCTTTCCACGTTTGTTTAGACAACGTTGACAAACTTTAGGAAAAATTGTGAGAAAACGTGAACTTATTATAATTCCAAAGTCGCCAATCTGTCTTGAGTTAGCGTGGGGATTGCTCCCACTAATACTGCCTCTACTACCATACTGATACTCCTACTATTAAGAAAAACCTTTTCTGTGTAGGAAGAGACCTTTACTCAGCAGTGCTTTCTTTTAAGCATCCATTAATACTAAGCATCAGTTAGTACATGTTAAACAAAACATTGTGTAGGCCCAAAAATTGAACATAACCTTTTGTAGAGCATGTAAAAAATAAATATACATTATACATACCAGAGGACCTTCCCCGAAAACCCCCACATATCAAATTTCACCAAAATCATTAGGGCCGTTTCCACGTGCTTTTTCAAGAAACCAGCGCCATCTGCCGTACTGATTTGTGAATTTACACCATCCAATTAAATTGGTCTAGCCGTTTAGGAGGAGTTCAATAACATACACACGTAGTTACAGTAGAATTATCTATATCTATATTATATACTAAAACGCGTAGGTAAAAGAGCATAAATATAACAAATTCAAATAATCTGTCATCGGATACAGAAGGTATTTACTTGTCATTCAATCATGTCACGACGTATCAATCTCCCTTCACACCCGTAAGCCTATTCATTCAGCGTAGGTTATATATACCCTTTCGTACATATACAAACATTATGGTTTTATTAAATAAACAAGATGATACATTATATAACATTTGGATTCTGTTTTTGTTTTTCTTTCACACCTTTATCGTGTGTTTTGTTTACAAACAGAGCGCGAACAATGACAAACTTGAAAAAGTTGTTTGAACATTAATAACAATAATATATTTATGATTAGTATTCATTATCATTATACCTATATTAGGGGGCTCCGTTTTCGCACCGGTTGCAATTCTGATATAAATTTTTGTCACTATTTAATTAAAGGTATTATACATATAAAACTTCCTCTTGAATCACTCTATAGATTATAAAAGAACCACATCAAAATCTGCTGCGTAGTTTTAAAGATTTAAGCGTACTTACATAAAAAAACGTAGAATATTATTACAAAAAAAAATTAATAAATAAATCAATGCCTATTATTACCTATATTATATTATTTTCAGCGTATTAATATTTAAAAAAAGAACACGGGTACAAAATAAATAAAATGAAATCATAAAGAAAATTGTCTGCCTGCCATCTTAATATTATTAGATGTACAATGCCAAAAATGTTTAATTATATTGCAAAGGAATTCCTATTATAAAAATATTAATGTAAAGGTACCCAGATCAATTTAATTACAAGATAACAAAAGAGCCTTGAGTTATTTTTTTCGTCAAAAAGTAATTAATGGAGATAGTTATAAACGTACAGGTAATCTATACTTATATACTTAAGTAACTACTTAAGTACTTCTATACTTAAAGAGGTAAAATTTGTAAGTTTGTATGTAGGGTGTAATCTTTGGAACCGCTGGTCGGATTACCATATTTTTTTAACTGATAGATAGCTACAATATTCCTGAGTGCTATGTGCTATAAACCATCACGCTATGATTAAATGGAGCTGAGTAGCGGGTGAAAATAAGAGTAGCTAGTTTTCAGTAAATTTAGTACTTATGTTTCACGATGGTTCCTATTTAAAAATATTATAAATGAAATGACTTATTTTACTCTCCGTCTTTTCTCTGCGATAAATATCTATTATTTGAACTCTATTCGGTACTATTGCTGAAAAATATTGACGGAATACCTTTGAAAAATATGACTAGTGTAAATTCGAATTGTATTTTTCACAAATCAAAATTAATAAAAAAAGCTTGGTTTAGATAAACTGCAGAACAAATATTTTGTTATCTATAAATTTATTAATTGTTAGTATAATTTTTTTAAAAAAAGGAAAAGCACAATTTCAAACTCATTTGACAATGAAATGACTCACTCCCAAGTGTTTCAACCAAATGAATCACCAGAAACTAAAAACGAGGATACCTCTAACTCACCCTAGGGAAATATGACGTCATAATTCAGTCCTGTTTACTCACACAGATACAGTGTCATCTCTACGAATGAGGCTCTCGTGTGACATTGCACTGACACGGTGTAATTATTCAGTGTCATATGAGGTCTCAATCCTGACTGACCTCGTTCGTTACGACGTGACGAACTGTAGGTACTTGGAAATTCGGCAGCCATTTTGAAAACCGTTACGAGTTCGTTCTTCTTTTTTTATTTCGTTCTTTATTTGAAGTTTTGGTTTCAAATGATCTGTATTTTTTGAAGGCAATGCTAGTGTTGTTTATAAATTTTATGTTTGTGATTAGTTTATTTTTGTGTTTATACATGGTTTAATTCTGGCAGTCTTGCTTTTGCATATCTAGTTCTCTTTGAATTCTAAGATCTAACCTGACGTAACTTATATAATTTTTACCTTCAAATTTAAATGTTGTTACACACAATTTTACGTGTTTTTTTAATCATTAAAAAAAATCTCTCGGCTAGGGTGAGGTGATAGGATGTGTTGAAGACTCTTAAGGACTAAAAACTACCGCTTTCCTTTTCCGGCTCAAGGCCGAGGCCGCGGTACATTTTTGCGCTTTCTGGCTCCTACTCTGGCGGCCTTGCCCTTTAAGGCACTAAAATTAAATATGGTATTTGGGTTTGATATCGTCGCATTAATTTGTTTGTTGCATGAGCTAAGGCGTGTACTAAAAATTTACTTCAGTGGCATACCTGTAGGCCTACCATGAAGTTTTAAAGCGTGAATCTTTCGGGCGAGAAAGAGGGATGGAGCTATAAGAGGTGTATAGCTCCATCCCTCTTTCTCGTCACACACGTCATGGTAGGCCCTCGCGTACCTATTAGAGAACCCTGATTTGTAATCAATGGTCACCATGGTGGCAATGGATATCAGCAACAATTGTTATGGGTGATTGGCGGCGCTGATTCCTTACCATCGGTTTTGAATCCGTATCCCCACCACGACCAGCCGCCGCAACAGGCGACGAAGCGGCGAAGGGACGATCTCCGGCCACCGAAAAGGCAGGTCTGCGGACGGCGACTAAGGGCAACTCGCAGCCCGACCAGAACCAGACCCGAGCGTACGGCGCGTAGCGTTCCGCGCGCGCCTCAAAGAGCCAATAGACCACTACAGACGGGGCTCTATAGGGAAGATGTTCAGCTGGGGTTGCGGGGTAAGCGCAATGAGGCACCGCGACCTCGGCCCAGAACAGGCGAAGGAACAGCGGGGTTTTTAGTCAGTAAGAGTTTGACACTTCCTCCCGCCCGGCCCTGGAAGGGAGAAGCGATATGGCGATTTCCCCTCACAAAAAAAAAAAACAAAAAACCCCATCATACGACGCTCAATGTTCTGTTTCTAAAAGCATAAATTATGGTAAGAAGGTGTGCTATTATGCCCCATTTCAAAGCGTAGAATACGATCGTGGATGCGTAAGGTAAGTGAGTATTGTATTTATGTAATTAGTCTGGGTTTCATTAGTATTAATACTGTAAGCGGATTAATGTGGCGGTATTCAGTATATTATTGTAGATACAATAATCAAACCGATCACTATTCATATTGACATAATAAATATTAGAGTGTTTGTGGGTTTACGTACTAGAAACTGTAAGATACTGTTCAATATACATACCTATACATATTCTAGACGTTGCCCCACACTACGATTTTCTCTTGTATCGTGGGTGCGTTTTTAAACATAAAATTTCACAAACACTTCATACCTAGACACGTAACAACAATATCTAGATCACACAAGGAGTTGTTCCGTACGGGAACCGAGCCCGCGACACGTTGCGAGGCAGCCTGTTGCCCAGCCAATATAACCTGACCTTCGAATTTAGGAAACGATCATATAAAACGAGATCGTGACACATTGGTTAAAGATAGCGTGTTGAGTATAATTTTTGACGAGAAAAATCAGCCAATGTCTTCTCTTGGTCTGGGTGGAGCGAGAGGTAGTGTGTCACTCTATTGACTCACCACTCCGTTCCTTCTCCAGCTCTGAGTTTCCATCCATCCAACCATGCAGTCGAGTAGGGTTTTGACTACAAACAAAGCCTCATTCCCTTCCTTTTATCTTGAATAACTATATAATAAACATTTATGCAAAATGATCATAACAACAATACTTACTGAACATTACGATAGGTAAATAATAAATTCATAAATATTTACGGTACCTATTTCGAGAAAGACAGTGAATGGTATTCCGTCAATTGATAAACACTCTGACATCGGTGAAAACAAAAGCCTGCTCATGAAAGGGGTGGCTTTATAAAGCCTTTTTTACACTGGTTGTAGTGGAAGCATAATATAAGTTACTATCTTTTGCTCACGACTCCATTCGCGTGGAATAGTGTATTCCTGCAGATTTTTGGTATAAAAACTATCCTATGTCCTTTTTTAAGAACGAAACTATGTCTGTACAAAATTTCACAGAAATCGGTTCAGTAGTTTAGGCGTGAAGAAAAAACAGACAGACAGAGTTACTTTCGCATTTATAATATTACTTTGGACTAGCTTCCGCCTGCGAATAAAAGTTATGTATGTAAGTATATGATTTTAAAAACAGAAACGTTTTAAAAAATATCGATATACCTCTTTATAATATTCGTATAGATTTGCGTCACTCTGAGAGTATTCTGTATTTTTTTTCATTTTTATTTAACTATACATATATGTATGTAGCGTCATCTCAGAATCTTTGTCAAATACAAAGCTTTTGATAAATAGTAAACAGACTCTGAAACATAGATTATTTGTTGCGTTTTGTTTCGTCATATATAAGACAACTGCAATCCCAATCATCCCGCACCATTCCCAATACGCCAAACATTCGGCCCTCAAATCCCTTACACCCAAAAGGTCGGGATATAATATACTTAAAATTCTTCTGGTGTTACCAGTGTCCATGGCCAACGCCAATTCTTTCTGTATCCGAAGAGCTGTAAGATATTTATCCGCATTAAGTATAAAAAATTGCTTGTGAGTATTAGCCTGTACATACATTGTATATGAAATATACCTGGACTTTATTGGAAAATGCGTCAAATTGATCATCGTTAAATGACACTAATAATAGAGATTTCTATACCTGCCTAAGTAATATGTTCGATTTTCTCTTCGCCTCAATAAAAATACTAAAAGGCTTACCTGACTAATATGCATAACTCTTTACTCAACTCGACAACATAAGAGGCACAAATTCTTGGTATTTCTAAACGCCATCGTGTTTTTATTTCCAACTATTTTTCCAGCCGTCTGTAGACATTGTTTTTTCAGCAAAATCACTTTGATTAAATATTCGATCTGTTGTTTACTTGCTCCATTGGATGGAGTATAATGTTGAGAATATTCTAGTATTTTTGTGTTGGATATTTCGTATATTTTATACTACATTGCGTAACAAAATCTCCCGTTAGTAAAGTAATGGGAAACTGAATTCATGAACAGCTTGGAGTAAGCTTGAATAATGTATTTCCCTTAGCCGAATAGTTCAATTTATTTATTTATTTATTTATACATACTTTATTACATACGAGTAGAGCTTTAAGTCATCAAGGCATTTCTCCACTATTTAATGGTTGTTATTATTACAGAGTGATTAAAGAGGAAGTGTATATATCAATCAAAAAGGAAGAGGAAAATTGTCTATTTAAAAAAAATGCATATAGATTCGTTTCGCCGTTTTAAAGATTTAAACTTACATGGAATATAGGGACAGAGAAAGCGACTTTGTTATATACTATGTAGTGAAGACGAAGCTGCCATTAAAATGTTAGATAGAATAGAACAATATTATGAATACAATGGGCAGTCTTATCACACAAGGCGGCTTCTTCCAGGCAACCGTTTGACCACATTGATTCATACAACGCCTCGAGAACTACAAAAGTAAAAAATCTACTTACACTTTAAAATATACAGAGTCGAGTCACACTCACATACGACCCAAGAACGACGTGACAAAATTATTACAAACGCTATGCAAGTCATTAATACAGAATAAGAAACTCTATCCTTGTTTTATAAAGTGTTTTCTTTGACGACAAAAGTTGACAAACCAAGTCAATGTGATCTCGAAACTTGTAGAAGAAATACATTATTTATGTTCTCACTGTCTATCTGTGAATAACTTCAAAATCTAATAGGAAAAGTTTTTTAGCATATTGTTTTGTATATTTGACCCCTTTCTTTTAGTTAGTTTGGGAGAGCCATGCTTCGGCACGAATATGTCGGCACGACCGGAGCGATACCACGGCTTTAAAAAATACCGGCGTGAAACGACCACAATATTGTGTTTCGCCGTGTGAGTGAGGTTGCCGGAGGGCCAATCCTTTCCCCTTCCCCAATCCCTCCCCAGAACCTAAATCTCCGAATCCCTAATCCCTAAAAGGTCGGCTACGCATACCTAACTACTTCGTTGCGGGTGTCCGTGGGCGGAGTTGATTGCTTAACATCAGATAATCCGTCAGCTCGTTTGGCGACCTATGAAATAATAAAAAAAGTTACATGAGAAATATTAATCACTAGCTACTCTCACGCGTTTTCACCCGCTGCTCAGCGCTTACAGATGACAGCGTGATGTTTTATATCCTATAACCTCTCTCGATGAATGGACTAACCCACAAAAAGAATTGTTCAATACGAACCAGTAGTTCCGGAGATTAGCGCGATCAAACAAACAAACTCTGCAGCTTTATAATATTAAAAATATAAGTATATAGAGGTTACCAGAGACCGAATCCTACCCCAATTCGTTCCCTTTCCCAAAATCTCCAAACCCCTAATCCCTAAAAGTTCGACAACGCACTCGTAACTCCTCCGTCGTTGCGGGTGTTCATGGGTGACGCTGAGTGCTTACCATCGGGCAATCCGTTTGCTCGTTTGCCGACCTATCACATAAAAAAAATAGATAAATCCAAGGCGCCCCGGTTTACAAGTTTATAAGTGCGGACATTTTTAAGCTATCACGGCTGGAATTTAATATTTTCCCGGGCAACAACAAGCAGCTCAGCTATTTGCACTATTTTCTGTAAAAGTTTTCAAATAGAAAATGAAAACATTTTTATAACTATGTGCTTCAAAGATTTCTTTAAGGAAACTTGCAACCAAATTTCGGCTTACACTGCAATCTTATCACAAAATTTAGTATGGCAAAAATGACGTAGATTTATATACTTCTTAATATAATAAAAACACGATTACACCCTGTAGTAAATTTAAAAAGTTTTTGGTCGACTAACAAGCGCCAGGGTCCACATTGAGGGAAAATTTTCGTAGCAATCCCGCCATGTTTTTAACTCGGACGGTCATTTATTATTTATTAAGTTTCCGAGGTCAAAGGTGAGAATATCAGGCCACAGAGGTCCGTCGGCGCACCAATATATTATTACTGAGAGGAATTGAAGCGTATTGTATTATGTAGGTACAGGATAAATAGAAAAATATCAGTAGGCTTTTTGTAAATATGTATATTTGTGTACATTACTTCTCGCCCAGGAGGAAGTGTCAGACTCTTACTGACTAAAACCACCCTCTCCTGCTCCAAGCTAAAGCCACGGTACCTTATTGCGTCTGCCCCGGATCCCAGGCTTAGCACGGCTATTTTGTGTCTCATTTGTAGTGGTGTATTGGCTCTAAAAACGGCGCGCGGAACGCTAACTGCCGCATGCTCTTCGTCCGCGGGTCCGCAGACCCGCGCTTATAGTGGTTGGAGATCGTCACGGAGTGTCATCCCAGGTGAGGCGTGAATAGGATATTTCCCTTACGCGCTCCGGGAACAAAGAAGGAGACGTTATTGCAGCTGCTTTGCAGAAATGGCAGATGGTTTTCCAATTTCTCTCGCTCCGCACCGTAGCCTCAACTCAGCTATTTTGTGATGTTATTAGTTTCAATGTCTTTGTATAATGTTTGTTATGGGCATGCATAAACAAATTATGTTAGAACACAATCATGGGCAAGCACACCTACTACTACCAAACTTAGGTACACTCACTGACAAACATGTTTTTCGAACCGAATCGCTATAAATTCCTTTGCCTAGAATGATTGCAAAATAAATTGAACATCGGAAATCTAGCGATCTTGGACGAGAATCTACGGGTTAAGAAAAGTTACAGTATATTGGTTTTTGTAATCGTACAAAATTATGTAATCTTTTTTGGCGAAAGGTTAAGGCACATACTCTCGGAAATCGAAACAATAATTGTCAAAAAGATGATGTAGGTTTTTTTTACTGTTACTCATTACTCAAACTAAGAACTTATTCTTACATACTGTATTAGGTAACCTATAACAATTAGGTATATAGCTAATAATTATAATCCATAAAAAAACAACTAGGTATCTAATTATAACCTTCAAATTACGATTAATCTTGACGAATACAAAACTGCCAATTCTCATTAGAATACATAAAATAGACTACATCATTTCATAATATTCTTAATAAATTTGAAAACAGTTTCACATAAATACGGTAACGAAAATAACCTAAAACTTAAATCTCATTCTAGGGATGTACCTTAAGACCGTTACCATGTACTGGGACCCCCGAGGGTTGTAACTAATATTATCGATATCGATAACTTATTAATATTCGGTTACCGTAGCGGTATTAATAGTTACTGTCGACTTGTAGTGGATCCAAACAACTGTTCGTTCGTGATGAATCGAAAATAATTAGTAGTATCGGTTTTCTGATTGTCTTTGTTTGTAGTTAGGAAGGAGGATAATGTTTTTCTTCTGTCGAATTAGTATATACATACATACATACATATCCTATGAGTTATGAATGTTTGAATCATTTTCACAACATAGTATAAAACAAAGTCACTTTCTCTCTCCCTATACATATACTTAAATATTTAAAACTATGCAACAAATTGTGGTGCGGTTTGTAATAGATAGAGTGAATGAAGAGGAAGTTTTATATGTATAATTACAGACATTAAATAGTAGAGAAATTAGTACTTATTAGCAGTGCACTCGTGCGAAGCCAGGGTGGGTCGCTAGTTGTCTATACGTTGAAGCCATTTTCCTTTCAAATAACTGGTGAAATATATTAATTTATTATTTTAAACAAGATGATCATCAAGCTTGTTATTTTTCCAACCACTCTATTCTCTTAAGGAGAAGAATTGAGTATTAGTCACCATGCTTGCTCAAGTCCAGGTTTCCTCACAATATGTTCCTTTTATAGCATCAGTAGGGATATATCGTCAGTCATGTCTAGTCTAAATAATCTTAGAAAGTTCATATGTAAGGTATAGCTTACAAAAAGTCATATTGGTACTTGACAGGTTTTGAACCTTTATGCCTAAGAAGCCGTTTACTTAACATCAGGGCCATGGACGGCGAGTAAGGGTAGCTCGCCGCCCGAGCGTACGGGGCGAAGCGTTCCGCGCGCGCTTCAAAGAGCCAATAGACCACCACAGACCCCCGTCTGTACGCCGGCTGAACATCAGCCCTGGTTAAGCGCAATGAGTCACCGCGGCCTCGGCCCAGAACAGGAGAAGGAACGGGGGTTTTTAGTCAGTAAGAGTCTGACACTTTCTCTCTAATCCTGGGGCGGGAAAAGTAATATGATGATTTTCCCATGACAAAAAAAGGCCAACACGACACTATGAATGAATATTATAAAATCAGAAATCAACGTTAAGAGATAGAATCTTACAATTCTAAGATGAACATTAGTATTCTGAACATAAACACGGGAATTTGTTACATAACCAGTGGGTATAGATTTCATTTTCGAGTTTTATTAACGTTCAGTACGAGTATTACGAGTAGGTACTTATAGTAGGTAATAAATTCAAGATATTATTTATTAGGAAGGTTGGTTCGATTAAGGGAATGGGAACCTTTTGTGAGGTATTTCGATTATTATTCTTGTTTTGCTTACAAACCTTTATTTAACTTGCAGTATACATATGTACAAACGGCACGTCGATTACATAAATTTAATTTTGAAGGAGGTTTTATCAGTTAACCCAATTCATCGGGCGAGAGTGCAACGAATCGTACTCTGGCGGAACGTCAAACGGATAGGTCTCCGTGCGCATTATGGTTGAGAGCGAGAGCTGTGACTGTCATAATTACGAGAAGGACGGCCGACGTCCGTTATTATTGTAGTTTATTCGGTCTGATTATAAAATCCTACGCCCTGCGATGGACCGTGAAGACGATGAACGGGATGTTCATGTTTGTACCAAACCCCCGGTGCCTTCATACATTTATTTTTGTGAAGTATTTAGGTCGGCAAACGAGCAAACGGATTACCTGATGGAGTGCGTTCTCGGCCCTTTGAGTCTCCGAGAACCTCACTCACAATGCCACACACAACGCCGTTTGCTGGTTGTTTCACGACTGTTTACTGTGAGGCCGTGGTATTACTCCAATCGAGCCGACACTCGGGTACCGAAGGTTGGCTCTCCCACTTATAACTGCACTTTGAAGCTTGAATATCAAAACCACTGAAATGAACTTTTCCATACACGTTCAGTTTGTATGACCGTGAAATGGACTCTATGGCTTTACTAATATAGACTATAATCTAGTAGGGCTATAGAAAGGTCAATGATCCAACAAAACATATCACCGTTTAAAATTATTCTAACGTAATCTTTGATCGATGAAACAATGAATTTATTTTTGTAAATATACCATGAAACTGCACAGTAACACGTCAACATTACAGTTGAGATGAAGCTAGCATATACTATCTGAATGCTCTGAGAAGGAATGCCGAAACAAAAACAGAGGTCAGTCTCTTTTAACAAACAAAGTCCGGACAAATGTAAAAATATGTGGAAGGACCGTCCAAGTTTGTGAGATTAACATTCATAAAACTGTTACTGTATTAATAAGTTTTGGAATTTAAAACTGTAATATTTATCATATATAGTATTTGTATACCACGTGATTTTAATACATGGAAATGCTATCTGTGTTGTATATTAAACTACTCGTGTATGACGTACTTTACGCAGTCGGAGCCTCTTCTGTATAAAATAGATCTGTGTCGACATTTTGAGATATGAATTTTATTAATATTATAAATACAAAAGTTACGATTTTTGGATGTTTGCAACTCAATCACGCCAAAACGGCTGGAAGTATGTGGATGAAATAGGATAGGCGTAGGAAACACTCCGGAATAGGATATAGGCTATGAAGGGCTAGTAGTTAGTAAGTTCATATAACATACGTGGTTCTTGAACGCCTGGCTAATGTTTGCTGCAGGGAGTCAAAAAGATTCGGTCCGGGTGGAATATCGGGATAAACATGTGCTCGTCTTTTAGTCCCTGATAAGGAAATCTTCATCATCAGCCAGTAGGTTTACCCACTGCTGGGCTAAGGTCTCTCGTACTTAGAACAGGTTTGAACATTAACCGCCACACTTGCTTGAGGTGGATGGCCGTTTTAAAACGTATAAGAAAAACTTATAAATATACAGTTTCCTCACGATGTTTTCCTTCACCGTAAGTACTGGTATTTTCTGTCGTTACTCAGAGTATTTGAAGAGGAAATGCTGACCGCATTTATTAAGTCTTATAACATTGTCATGCATTATACTTTTGTTATCAAATAATTGCTATATCTAGTATTAAGGCCTATTTAGAAGATAAGTCGATATAATCTGGATAGTTTAATTTTAGTAATAAATTTGCACGCCATGTTTGGCAGGATACGCTGAATAAAATGAACTGTAACACCTTTTGTAGCGTATTTTAGCAAAAAATATTTTTTTGCTGTTGTGCTTTGATTGCATTACATTGAAGGTTACGTTTTTTTTTGCAAAAATAATCTAGATGTTTCATTGTTTCTTTTTTAAAAAATGTTGCCATATAACATCATTAGTTGTATTTTCTCTAATCTGGAATACAATCCTTAGATCCTTGCTCAACCTTAAAACTGGCTTGGGACACTGCCCTCAAAATGACATTAAAATAACAATGTCCCTTACATGGTTCATAATGACTCTACAAATGAGAAAAGTAGAGTATCAAGTTAAATAGGATTTCAAAACGTAATCTAACTTTTAATGACATAACCTTCAACGCTATAAATATAATTACGTTCACATATAAACATGTTTGGTCTTCTATATATACATATATATGTATCACCTAGCTTCAGACGGGGTTGTTAGTGCAAGTACAATAATGTACCTGACCTGGAGAAGGTGGACGAATGAGGGAAAATCATCCAATGTTTTCTTCCGGTCTAGGAGAGGTGTCAGACTATACCTGAATTCAAACCATCCTGTTCTTTTTCCTGTGATTTTGCTTGCGTCTGCAACCCTGGCTGGCAGAATGACACCAAAACTTTTTTTTTGAGAGCCCTAGCTTGTTACATCCCGTCTCTCTCCCAAGGGGGCGAGAGGGAATAGCAGATTCTCACTGACTCAAAACCATCACATATCTTTTCTTGGCTCAAAACCCCATCTGAACATCGAGCCTGTTGGGCCCCATCTGTGGTGTCATTTAATGGCTTTTTGATGCATGCCAGCAATACTGGGGATAGCTGTTAGGCCGGCCTCACCTTTTTTACCCATCCCACATTTCTTTTTCGAAGTATATAGAAGTTCTAAACTTATTTTTATTTATTAATTCGTCACATTTTTATGTATTATCAGGATCTAATTCATTTTAAGTTGTTAGTACATGATATAGGTACTATGAATATCTTCTACAGCCATTGGTTCGCTTTCCGCATAAACCAATTGCAGTACAGAGGGAGGCAAGACAAGAGCAGAAAAAGTCTGAACTGTTATGCCGAATAAGCCGTTGAATATATTTTAATAATCAACATCATTTGTGCCCGAAGGGTAAGGCATGCTTGCTTACCATCAGGTAATCCGTCTGATCGTTTGCCGACATAATCACGTAAAAATAATAATAATAAAGAATTTAATTTAATTTATTGTACCTATATGTTTGGCCAGACAGTAGTCTCATAACAGTTATGCTTCACTGACCAAAGTATTCTGAATATATGATACCTACAAAAATACACAAAAAGAATCCTACCAATACATTACATAGACTTATCCTGTTCGGATTAATCTAAGAGCTTTCACACAAAGGGAAATGGATGAAATTAGTTTGGTTTCAAGTGACGTATCCTTATGTGGCTGCTGTAATGTCACAGGAAACGAAACCGAGGACAGGATTAACTGGAAACACACGTTTTCCTTTATTTAAGCGACTTTGCTAAACCTGCCTGACCGATGGTAGCTGAAGCTCTGTTCTTTGTTACTCGTTTTTTAGATAGTCATTTCTTATTTGCGCTTCTGGGAATAATACTTTGATATTGTAATTAGGTTGTGTAATTGAATAAACTTTTTATAATATACTAGCTACTGCTAGATGGTTTCACCCGCTGCTCGACTTCTATTGGTAGTAGGGTGATGTATTATAGTCTACAGCACTCAGGAACATTGAAGCTAGTAAGTGAATTTCGGAAATCCGACTAGCGGTTCCAAAGGTTACCCCCTGCGTACATACAAACTTACTATACCATTTTATAATATTAGTACAGACTAATACGCACAAATTGGAATAAATGCAACGCGGCTACCTTGCAACGTGTCTCGCGTTCGAGTCTCGCACAGAAGAACTCTTTGTGTGTCCAGAAATTGTTATTCCGGGTCTGGATGATTCATGATTGATGTATTTATAAAATGGTATGCTTTTTAAAGGATTAAATCTTAGTTTGGGGCAACCTTTTTAATTAATGTATGTACTCTATGTACATCTTAAGATGAAATTAAAAACAATGTGTTACTTATTTAGTATTTTATTTCGTTTAATAATAGATTATGGGTTGAAAATTGAGAATTGAAAATTTTCAGCAGATAACTTGAATTTTTTTCTCTTGTCCTTGGGATCAAGATGAATATTTTTCATGAGAAATTAGTTGTTATAGTAAAGAGTTTAATTACCATCTCGGACTTTTTGCTACTTTCTATACAGTCCAAGTAAGTTATTACTAAAGACTAAGAGTTATAGAATAGAGAAAAAGATTTCTTAAGACTTGCAATTCGTTTCAGATGAAACGAAGCGAAATATAAGAACTTTATTCTTAGTAAGAATCCAATAACTAAAAACGAAAATTTACGGTCGAACAATTCTGAAAATTATCTGAATAGTTCTCAATGGTGCAGTGGCATAAAAGTACTTTCAATTTCAAACTAACCATAAACATTGTTTAAAGTTCTTCTTTTTGAAATAAATGATTTGATTTTAATGGGGGAAACTCATCAATTGTCGTCTCCCATTCTGGTTTTTTTTTTATGTAAACGATCGGTAAACGAGCAGACGGATTACCTGATGGTAAGCAATCATCGCCGCCCATGGACACTCGCAACGGAGGAGTTAAGAGTGCGTTGCCGACCTTTTAGGGATAAGGGATTTGGAGATTTAGGGATTGAGGAGGGATTGGGGGAGGGAAAGGATTGGGCCTCCGGTAACCTCACTCACACGGCGAAACACAACGCTGTGGTTGTTTCACGCCGGTTTTCTGTGAGGCCGTGGTATCACTCCGGTCGAGCCGACCCATTCGTGCCGAAGCATGGATCTCCCACACTTGGTTGGGGCGGAAGAAAGTATCAGATGGTTATTTAATAAAAACTACCCCGTTCTTTCTCCTGTTGAGGTGGCACCCGCAACCCCGACTGAACTATTGTGCGAAATTTATTTTGGGAGACAGCCTATATTTTTAATGATTAAGGATTTTTAAGAAAAATAATCCTACATTAGTCGTCTTTACAGCCGTCACAATTTTCAAATTGATAAATTGATTCCAAATTTTATATCTATAGGTGCATACATACATACTACGGATCTAAACAAAAGGTATGGAATCGTACCATATATGTAGGTTCGTATGCTCATGTTTTACAAAGTCAGTAAAAAATAAAAGTAAATATTGTACTGAAACATTTCACTAAAGCTCTTTTTCATTTCACTGTAGACACGGCGTTAGTTTCAAACATTTTTACATCGAAAAATGGTCCACAAAAATCGAACAGCCATTGTTTGCAGCTATACTGGATATACACGGATTCGAACTGTAGTTCAAATAGATATTGCTACTAAAGAAACTGAATAAAAAATATATGCTATGAATCTCTGCATTCACTCTACCTAGATTTCAGACATTCGTTTAAACAAAGAAATGTTTGAAATAGATTTCTGTCTTTAGTATATAAACAATCTGATATTCTGATTAACTGAAAAGGCCGAGGTTTCGTTGACCATGAGAATCAGCTGGTGGATGGCTATTCTTAGATGATTCTCCAATTCAGCGTTATAGGCAAATTATTTTCCATTGACTAAATTTCAGTTCTGTTCTCATATGTCCAATGAAATACTCTGTGTTTCATAATTTATTATGTTGGAGTTCTTCATAAAGAAATCATCCTACTTATCCTACTAATATAATTTTAGGTGTCTTCAAGGCTAGAGTGAATAGGCTCTTAATAAACTAGTGCGCCTTACCATCAACGATTGCATCACTGCTTACCATCAGGTGGGATCGCAGTCAAGCACTAGTTTATTGCAAGTAAAAAAAAATGTGCAAGTTTGTGACAATGTATGTATGTATGTTTGTTTGTTATTCTTTCACACAAAAACGGCTGGACAAGTTTGGTTGGATTGTTTTAGTACCTATGTACTACTTACCATGCGGGTTAAGCTGCGGGTAAAAGCTAGTTGGAAGATAAAAATGGGTTCGGTAATCAAATACTACGTTACATTAAGTACTAATAGGAAAGAGAGGCGAATTCGGGGAATGTCCGTTTTCAGGCTCAACAACCAGTAACTATCTACTCCTATAGCCTCTTCACTTTACAGGCAGTGTTCGAGCTCCCAGTTTAAAAGGATCAGGTTTATCACGCTGCTTTCCAAGTACCTAAAAGTAGTACGAAAAGCCAGAAACATATATTTATTAAACATATTTATTTCACGTCAGGCCACAAAAGAAAGCCCATAATGTTGTTAAAGTGTTAGTAACAATGTTTAGCTTAATATTTTGTACAAATTTTTTGTTTTACCTTTTACATTAAAAAAAACAATTGACCATTTCATCCAGTACTTTGAGATGGTAAAATATTTTTAGATTCAAGGGTTTTATTCCTCTTTCTTACGAAACACACGTTTACGTTTTAAGTGTGGGAGAGCCATGCTTCGGCACGAATGGGTCGGTTTGACCGGAGTGATACCACGGCCTTACAGAAAACCGGCGTGAAACAACCACAGCGTTGTGTTTCGTTCGAGTGTGTTTAGTTCGTTTCGTGAGAGTGAGGTTACCGGAGGCCTAATCCTTCCCCTTCCCCAATCCCTAAATCTCCAAATCCCTAATCCCTAAAAGGTCGGCAACGCACTCGTAACTCCTCCGTTGCGGGTGTCCATGGGCGGCGTTGATTGCTTACCATCAGGTAATCCGTCTGCTCGTTTGCCGACTTATTACATTAAAAAAAAAAAACAAGAGGGATGAGCTGGAGTACCAAGAAACATATTGTACTTAATCTGCTGTTACCATTGCTTACGAGTTTTCATTGTTATTTGCAATTACTCAACAAAACAATCAACCAATTTCTGAATAAAATCCAGTGTACATGTCCGATCTTATCTAAACTCCAACCGCACGGAAACACAGCAAATTGTGGGAATTGTAAACAGGCGTTCGTGGAAACCTAGCTTATTTACTTTATGCTTAGGTAATAAGAGTGATTTTCGTGAAACAACTAGGCGTTGAAATTGGCATGCAAAACTGGTTCGTACTGGTTACAGGTGAATCGTGTTCGGTTTCAAGCCCCCGGCAATTTGATGGTATTGTCCGATATGTATAGCGCGTAGTTAGTGCTACAATTGTACCCCTTTGTTCTACTTTGTGAGGAGAACTGTGATTAGTACGTGATTCTGTTTAGTTGTTGCGATTATCGACATCATTATTATTATGTTGTTGGCTTCTATTTATGGTACCACCGGGCTTTTGGAAGGCAGCAGAGACCCTTTGAATATGTGATAGGTCTGTAAACTAGTAGATCGATTAACTGCTGGTAAGCAATCTCTTTGGACACCAGAGAAGTGACGGGTGCGTTTCCAGCCTTTTAAGGATTGGGGAAGGATGGGGAAAAGGATTAGCCCTTCGGTAATCTCCCTCAAACGGCAAAACACAAAGCTGTAGTCTAACTATCAGAATAAGACTCATTTTAAAACTGCTGAGATGCCATAAAAACAGGCGCAATCAATTTGAATAATAAAACTCTATAAAAATCTAGTGTCAAGGTTATCAAATTTGGCAACATTTTTTCACTTTTCTGGCAACACCTAAACTTGCAATACGCTTAGACTACCATAGAGAAAGCAAAACGATAAATCACAATTCTATCTACGAACGTAAATTACCACTTTGGCACCAAAAACTGTGCCAAAAATGTGTTTTAAATGCTGCCAACAGTTTTCTCTCATGGAATGTTCTTGATATAAATGCAGCGAAACTTATTCATATTGGCTGGCTTAATATTTCGGAAAATCTAAATGATTTTATGAGGATTGTTTCAGAATATTTGACTTTTACGCATTGTTTTGGTACATAAAGATATTAATTGGCATTTTATGTAGCGTTTAAGAGACTTTCGACTGAAATTTATAGCGTGTTATGGGAATGTGTTGTCGTATTTTTAAAGGTGAATGTAGATACCTACTACTGCTACTGATCATGCTTAGCCGGGGAAGCGAGTGCCATGGCAATAATGTCCCGCGACCCCAACTCAGAGCAGGAGAAAGAATGGAGTGGTGCGTCAATAGAGTCATACACTCCCTCTCGCTCCGTCCAGCGCGAGAGAGGACATTGTCTAATTTTTGTCTGATTTTTTCTCTTCAATAATGATACTCAACACGCTTTCTTTAACCAATGTGTCATGATCTCGTTTTGTATGATCTTTCACTTAATTCGAAGGTCAGTTTCCATTGGCAAGATAGCTCATTAGAACGTTTCTAATATCTATGTCTTTAAGGAATCATCTACTTTAAGATATTTTTGTATCTCTTGATAAAGACGTTTATATACCTGTAGTCTGAAGCCGATTGCAAGACAAATCTGGAATCAACTACTGGTCGGACCGGGCAAAAGAATGAGAAGAAACAATACTTTGTATTCGATTACAAGTATTATGTAATCGATTAGCTACAAACGACATTCGATTAGCCTTATTGTGGCCTAGTTACAAAGAGTCGCGAACGCTTACCAGCCCGCGGTCCCAGGTGCACTCCGCAAGATGGAAAAGTTTTATTAAGTTACGAAATACGCGTCTAATTTCAAAAGGAGCTATTAACGTAATAGGGACCTTTTAGAGAATATCATAACTTCATGCTATTTAATTCTCAAAGGAGTGGGCACGTACACTTACAATGCAAACTTTCTAAGATTATTTAGACATCACACACATATGGTTTGGGAAAATATCATAACGAAACCTTTTTTGTGAAGGGAAATTATGAAATGACTTCTCCCGCCCACGATAGGGCGGGAGGGAGTATGAGACTCTTACTGAGTAAACCCCCATTCCTTCTCCTGCTCTGGGCCGAGGTCGCTATGCCTCATTGCGCTTACCCCGCAACCCCGGCTGATCATAACGAAACCTAAATTCCAATTGCAAGTTTCAAATCGCCAATTCGTCTCGAGCAAGCGTGGCGATAAATATTCAAACCTTTTTCGTGTGAGAAGAGGCAGTTGCTCAGCTGTGGGCTTTTATAGGCTAGTGATTATGATGATGATGATGAACCACTTTCGTACTAGTTAATTTTTGAATCACGCGATTTGTTAATGTTAGTCTAAGGTTGTATTTCAAAGAAAAACAAATATATACACCCTTTATGCTATCTCTATTTTATCTAATAAAGAAACTATATCCATGTACTTTTTACTAAGTATCGGAAGTTTCAATTCGTAGAAAACTCGCTATTGTTTACAATCGTGAATCGATTAAATAAATCGTAGGAGAAACATTCGAGGACTCGCCACTCAGTTCTAGTAAAATAGATTTTTCCGAAGAATTTTCTTTTTATTTATGTCTAAATCGATTCTCTGTCTCGATATTTGTTTTTTGTTATTATTTTCTAACAATGAATAGTTAAGTATTTTTTCACATGTATTATTTTTCTAGGTTTCGTTTTTTGGTTTTGTTGGCCTGACTACATTATGGTTATAAGTATGGTTTCAATTTGAGTCAACTATACTATTATTGTTGATATATGGGAGTTATAAAGTATCTTACTATTTCTACAAGTAATTATGTATTACAGATTACATAGTATCATCTTATGTATACGGTCGTAGTTACACGAACACTATGACATTTCAGAAGCCAGTAACAAGTCTAGCTAGAGAAGTTAAATCGAAATCAGTTGAAGAAATTAAGAGGGGAAAATTAATGCATTAACTTTGCTGATTATTTTTACTAAAGTACGTAATAAAATTTCCACGAAAAACAACGTAGGTACAGGCTAAATACTAAAAGTAACTATAAATAATTGCTACAAACCATGAAATGTGTTACAATGGCATTTTTGTGTAACAATGTACCAATGAATGAGTTGGCATTCATATCCAGTCTTGGTCGGACGTCACAAATGAGTAGTGCGCTGTTAAAAATAATATTTTCGAAACTACGGACTAGTTGCGGCACGTGGATTCGCATGCGGTTATTTAAATTTATTTATAAATTTATTGCGGCGGTAAAAATTGCCAAAATTTGTATTAGTGTCTATAACTAGTTTAACATAGGTTTTCGTGTACATTTTTGTAATGTTTTCCCACAATAGGCTTTTCTCCTGTGTTGTGAGTAATAAACACATAATAAATCATACCCAGACCCGACGCAACAACGAATTCAACCTGCGAGACGTCGCACAACGCCTGATTGTCGACCACGATTGACCAGCATACGGATTACCTGTAGGCGCTAGGTAAGCAATCAGTGTCGCCCACGGACCCGCAACAGCTGAGGTGGAAGAAGAGAGTTGTCGCGTTTTTGAGGGTTATTAGAAAATAAAGGATTAAAGAATTGAGGATTACTGATAGAAGAAAAAGGACTAGTCCACCCAGTAACCACAATCACACGACGAAACACAATTCAACCATTGTTCGCCACTGGTTAAAAAACTTCTTACACTGTTGAAATGAAAACAATAAAAAAATATTACACCAGAACACCTTCGACTTCTTGAAGATGCCAGCATTGTGGGTCAAGCGCAATAAGGTACCAGAGCCCCGGCCTGAAGCTGGAGAAGGAACGGGGGTTTTTGAGTCAGTAAGAGTCTGACACTCCGTCTCGCCTTAACCTGGACGAGAGAGGTCATGTAATGATTTTCACACACAATATTGGCAAAGTAAATAACACTTCTAAAATGACTGCAGCGTTGACACAGTAAACAATTTCCTGAACAGATCTGTCTTCACAAATTATTCAGTCCAGACACTCCCAGACCGAGCACTAGATATATTGCCAAGTGTCTTTCAAAACTGTTTACATTGCAAATAGCGCTTTGTAATGACAGGTACACGTTATTACAGAGTTTTCATCTGTCCTTGTTTTGTAATAAATAGTCTGTCTTGCGAAATGCGTGCAACCAAGTTGTATTTCTCATAATCGTCACCTACAAACTTTGGTTGAAGTCGGGCTTTGATGTTTTCTTTTTAAATAAAAATTGCATTGTTTTTGATATTTGTTTACCTACAACATTATTTAAAAACGAGCTCGCAGAATAAAATGAATATACCTTTTGGAAAACTGTGTTAAAATCGGTCCAACCAGTCATGAGGATAATTGCAGACAAAAATACAGGTCAAACTAAGTTCTGCCTTCTCTTTACACGACTGCCCAAAAAAAGGAGTGTTATGTTTTTAGGGTTCATGTATGTGAATTTCTTTATTCCACTGTAACTTCCAAACGCCTGGGCAGAATTAGACATATAGCATATCGTTAGAATCCTTAAATTATTCCGGGTATTATAGTCTAGGTTGTGTAAAAAGCAAAAAACAAGTTGTCAAGAGGAAAAGCAGTCGGGGGACAGTTCTCTGCACCATAACTTAATTATAAGGTATAAACAGTTTTTACGTATCCCCGAAAGCAATACATTTTGTTTACTTTTACGCCTCTAGAGTTAATAAATTAAACATTATTTTACTTGTAATTACTGAGTCTTTTTTTCCCAATTCTAAACGTCTTTTAGCGAAAGTTACAGAAAAGCAATTGACGGGAAAACCTTTAGGATTTGTCTTGTCGTTGATGTAACGATAGATGAGATTTATCTGCACAACCTTGAGCCGGCTCTTATTACAATAAGAGCCGGTTTCCATTAGTTTTTTTAAGGAATATAGGAAATAAGGTTTACGGAATAATGCTTGTTGTTTATATAATATATGTATTAATCTGTTTAACTTTATACAATCGAATAGGTACATACATTCATAAATGTACACAAATTTAATTACGAACTATGTATATGTCATTATCTCATTCGGGTCGGCAAATGTACAATCCTACTAATATTATGAATGTAAAAGTTTTTCAGAATTTATGGATGTGTGTTTGTTATTCTTTCACTTATAAATGGATGGACTGATTTGGTTATCTTTGTTTAACACCATACCAGGCTGGTATTGCTGCGGGCGAAAGTTAGTAAATAATTTTATTTAAAATTATTAAATACAATATTGATTTAATATACTTTACAAATATCAGTAATTCTTTGACCAACTCTAAAATCAAATCTCAGGAAAGGCTGTACCCCGTCGTCGTTTGGTTTTCTCGATACATTTAAAAACATACAAATTCACAAACACATCTTACCCAGACCAGGAACAGCAATTTAAAGATCACATAAAGAGACCATCGGTGCGGGTATCGTAAATGCACCAAAAACCATGCAGTAAAAAAATTAAATTAAAAATTAAAAAAAAAAACACCCGACACAAAACCATAAGCTACCTTTAAAAAGTAAATAATACAAAAAAAAACTTAATTGAAATCGTTTACAATGACACGTCAAACTTATAACACCCCTCTTTTTGCGTCGGGGGTTAAAAAGTCAAATGTGACTTAAGGCACACTTGTAATCAATAGATCAAAAAGGTCAAGAAAGAAAGAAATCTATGCCAATTACAGCAGTAACATTGATTGTCTACATGTACATACAACTGTACAATGTTACCCAAACGTCCTAAACCACATTAATGAAATCAACCTCTGAAGCTGGTACTTGTAATCAGTCAACGTCACCTTTAGACCTTAACAACATTACAATTGATTAACATTTAATCTTCGAGATAAACACCGCTCTAATACCTTTGTAATTATTTTAATTTCTTAGTTCTTTGTTTTTGTGTTAGAAAAGGATAGTAGATATGTTTCTTTCTTGTTTTTCGAAAATTATTACTGTTACGATTATGCGGCGACTAGGCCATGCTTGTGTGCGAAGAGATCGTTAGTCCGGAGTGATACCACGTCCTCACAGAATTTTAGCGTGAAACAACGCTTTCGTGGGGTTTTACCGTATTTCTATGTTATGACAGCAAACGAGCTGACGATTTACCTTGAGGGTAAGCAGTCAGCAACCTGATACAGCAACGCCCATGTACAGTCAGGGGTCAAAAATGCAATTACACTCTACCAATTTTTCCACCACAGACGGGGCCCTAAAGGGCTGATGTTCAGCCGGGGTTGCGGGGTAAGCGCAATAAGGTACCGCGACCTCGGCACAGAGCAGGAGAAGGAACAGGGGGGTTTTAGATTTTCCCCTCACAAAAAAAAAAAAAAAAAAAACTCTACCAATTTTAAAATGACTAAAATTTCTTTGTAGTAAAATTTCAATGATTCACAGCTAGTTTATTCAATAATTTAGTTCTATGCTATAAATTAAAGCAGTCCTCAACCATCGACTCTATTCTTCAAAGATATTTTGGTCATTTTAATATAGGTAGAGTGCAATTGCATTTTTGACACATTAAACAGCAACAGTAGTAGAATTACGAGTGCGTTTCCGACCTTTTAGGGATAAGGATTTCCAAAGAGGACAGTGGTTTTATCGTCATTGAAGGTTTCGGAGATTCAGGATTTGAGGGAGGGAAAGAAGGATTGGACCTCCAGTATCCTCGCTCACACGGTGAAACAGAAAGCTGCAGCTCAGGGTTTTCTGTGAGGTTGTGGTCTTACATCTCTCGTCGTATAGCTCTCACACTTTAAAGAAGAAAGGGCGCATGGTAGCGATTATAGCGGAGTTTTAAAAAGGCGTATTTAAAATAGTTACTAAGCATGGATGAGTACATCTGTTTACAGCTTCGTGGATTTAGATGTGTTGTATTGTATTGTCGCTTTACCTTCTCAATAGCCTATCATTATGCTGAAGCAAGACGAAATTAAAACAATAGGTACACAGAAGTATTCTTCTTTTGTTTAGCTGTTACATACGCACTCGAAATGTATTAAGTTATGGTATTATTTATTCCCTTAACTTATCACCTACCTATTTAAAAACTTAAGTTTGTTAGCTTAGTAATTTTTTTTAATATGCAATAGGTCGGCAAACGAGCAGACGGATTAC